TCTCAGATGTCCTCGTTTTTCAAGGACTGCAACTTCCCCGCCTCAGTGGTCAAGAACGCCCTCGACCGTGTCTCCCGCATTTCCCGCAACTCATCCCTCACACCCCCTCCCCGCAATAACAACCAAAACAGAATCCCCCTCGTCCTCACGTACCACCCCACCAACCTCCGGATCCACCCCATCATCCTCCGACACTTCCGCCATCTGCAATCTGACCCCACCACCAAAGACATTTTCCCTCCCCACCCTTATCTGCTTTCCAGAGGGACCACTCTCTCCGTGACTCCCTTGTCCGCTCCACACTCCCCTCCAGCCCCACCACACCCGGCACTTTTCCCTGCAACCGCAGGAAGTGCTACACCTACCCCTACACCTCCCCCCTCACCCCCAACCCAGGCCCCAAGAAGACTTTCCACATCAAGCAGATGTTCACCTGCACATCTGCTATTGTGGTATACTGCTTCCGCTGTTCCCATTGTGGCCTCCTCTACATCAGGGAAACCAAGCGGAGGCTTGTGGACTTCTTTGCAGAACACCTGCGCTCGGTTTGCACTAAACAACTGCACCTCCCAGTCGCGAACCATTTCAACTCCTCCTCCCATTCCTCAGATGACATGTCCATCCTGGGCCTCCTGCAGTGCCACAACGATGCTACCCAAAGGTTGCAGGAACAGCAACTCATATTCCGCTTGGGAACCCTGCAGCCCAATGGTATCAATGTGGACTTCACAAGCTTCAAAATCTCCCCTCCCCCTACCGCATCCCAAAACCAGCCCAGCTCATCCCCGCCTCCCTAACCTGTCCTTCCTCCCACCTATCCCCTCCTACCACCTCAAGCCCCACCCCCATCTCCTACCTACTAACCTCATCCTGCCCCCTTGACCTGTCCATCCTCCCTGGACTATCTCCTCCCTACCTCCCCACCTACACTCACCTTTACTGGCTCCATCCCTGCCTCTTTGACCTGTCTGTCTCCTCTCCACCTATCTTCTCCTCTATCCATCTTCTATCCGCCTCCCCCTCTCTCCCTATTTATTTCAGAACCCCCTTCCCCTCCCCCATTTCTGAAGAAGGGTCTAGGCCCGAAACATCAGCCTTCCTGCTCCTCTGATGCTGCTTGGCCTGCTGTGTTCATCCAGCTCTACACCTTGTTATCTCAGATTCTCCAGCATCTGCAGTTCCTACTATCTTTCAGACAGAGGTATACAGGTTACATTGTACAGGGTGTGCACTAGGTGAGATTAACGATAGCAAGATCAGCATTATTTGAGGCTGGAGAATCCATTCATTAGTCTGATAACGGCTGGGACGAAACAGTTCCTGAACCTGCTTGTGCGTGTGTTCAGGCTTCTGTATCTTCTGCATGATGGAACAGGTTATAGGAGATCATTACCAGGGTGTGATAAGTCTTTGATGATGTTGGCTGCCTTTCTGCAGCAGCGAGCCATATAAATAAAGTCCATGGATGGAAGTTGGTTTCCATGATGGTCTGGGCTGTACACACCACCTTCTGTAGTTTCTTACGGTCCTGGGCAGAGTCGTTGCCATTCCAGGCCATTATGCATCCAGACAGTGCGCTTTCAATGGTGCATCTGCAAAAGTTGGTGAGGGACCTTATGGACATGCCAAATTTCCTGAGCTGCCTGAGGAAGAAGAGGCATTGTTGTGCCTTCTTGACTGTTTCATCTACGTGGGAAGTCCAGGACTGGTTGTTGGTTATTGTCACTCTGAGGAACTTGACGCTCTTCACCCTCTCAACCTCAGTTCCATTGATGTAGATGGGGGCATGTTCTCCTCCTTTCTTTCTGAAGTCAATGATCAGTCCTTTGCTTTTACTGACATTGAGAGACAGATTGTTTTCATTGCACCAAGTCACCAAGCTCTCTCTCGCCCTTCTGTAGTTTGACTTGTCACTGTTAGATATCTGTCCCACTATGGTGGTGTTTCGGTGAACGTGTAGATGGCGCTCATTCAGAATTTGGCAACACAGTCGTGGGTGTACAGGGAATACAGTAGCGGGCTGAGGGCACATCCTTGGAGGACTGATGTGTTGAGTGTTATTGTGGAGGAGGTGCAGTTATCTATCCTCACTGATTGCGGCCTATGGGTCAGAAAGCTGAAGATCCAGTTGCAGAGGGCAGAGTGAGACCAAGATCATGGAGTTTTGAGATCAGCTTGGAGGGGATCATGGTGTTGAAGGCGGAGCTGTAGTCAATGAGCAGGAGTCTGATGCAGGTATCTTTGATGTCCAGATGATCCAGGGATGAGTGCAGGGCTAAGGATATGGCATCCTCTGTGGACCTGTTATGTCAATAGGCAAAAGGTAAGGGATCGAGGCAGGTTGGGAGACTGGAGTTAATGTGGGCCATGACCAGCCTCTTGAAGCACTTCACGATTATTGAGGTTAGAGCCACTGGGTGGCAGTCATTAAGGCACGTTGCATGTTTTTTCTTAGGTACTAGGATGATGGTGGTCTTCTTGAAGCAAGTGAGGACTTCAGCTTGTAGGAGCGAGAAGTTGAAGATGTTGGAGAGTACCTTCGCCAGTTGGTCTGCCCAGGATCAGACTGCTTGGCCGGGGACACCAGTGGGCCCATCACTTTCCTTGGGCTGACTCCCAGGAAGGCTGATCTGATGTCTGAAGCAGTGACAGAGGGAACAGGTCTGTCTGGGGAATTCGGGCCAGGCATTCTGCTCAAACCGAGCATTGAAGGCATTCAGCACATCAGAGAGGGATGTGTCTTTGTCCGTGGTCTCGGACCAGCACTGTACTTCTTTCGCAAAGGATTCTCCCGTTTCAGCTTCTGCTTGTAAGCAGGGAGGAGGAACACAGCGCTGTGATTTGATTTTCCGAAGTCTTGTCGCAACCTGTTTATTCCTACTCTCTGCTTTCAGCCTGTTAACCAGTCCTCAACCCATGGTATATGTTACCCCAAAATCCCATGCACATTAATTTTGTTTACTAACCTCTTGTGTGGGACTTTATCAAAAACCTTTTGAAAATCCAAATATATCACATTCACATGTTCATCCTTATCCTCTCCTTGAGAAACATCCTCAAAAAACTCTACCTGATTCGTCAAACATGATATCCCTTTCATAAACCCATGCTGACTCTGAACAATGAGGCAATTGTTTTCCAAAATAAAACAAATAACTGTGGATGCTGGAGATCTCAAAATAAAATTCTAGCAAATCTCAGCAGGTTTGGCACCATCTGTGGGAAGAGAGCAGAATTAACCAGAAGATGAAAAGTCACCAGACTTGAAACGTCAACTCATTATTTTTCAAATATCCAGTAATTACATCCTTTATAGTAATTTCCTTATATATTTTACTTACTACCACTTACGCTAACAGGTCTGTAGGTCTCTGTTTTCTCTCTTTTTTTTCCTTTCTTGAATAGTGGGATTGCATTCACAGCCTTCCAGTCTGCTACTTCTATTGCAGAATTACTAGAATTTCAAAAGCTGTTAACAATGTGTCCACCTGTCTCTGTAGCCATTTCTTTTAACTCTAAGTTGAAGGTGATCAGATGCTGTTTTTTTCTGCTTCTCAACTTTATCCCTCAAGACAATAAACTTTAGAGCTTTTGTTTAAATGCCTTATGAGGCATTAAGTGATATTGCTTCCTGCAGTGCTTTATGTACCTTTATCCTCAGATGTCACGGTCTTTCATCTCATACTGTTATTTTCCAAGTGAGTATGTGGTTTCTTTATTCTTCATACCTAAATGCACACCTCATGCTTACCTTTATTGACTGGAATGTGCCAATCACATGCTTATCCTGCAAATTGCTTATACTGCATGCAATTGCAGATGGCATAATGTCCATTCTGTCCACAAAAATGACCCCAAGCTTCTTGCTGCCTGCCACTTTAACACAATACCGTGTTCCCTGGCCAACGTCTCTTGTCTCTGGCTTCCTGAGGTGTTTCAACAAAAGCTCAGCACAAGCTGGAAGAATAGCATCTCATTTTCTGCTTGGGAACCCTGCAGCCTTCAGGATTCAGTATTGTGTTCAATAATTTTAGGCCCTCAGCACCTTCTCCCATGTCTTCATCCCAAACCCCTCACACCAGGCCTTGCCATCACATGGGCTGTTACCACAACCATCCGCAGTCCTGAGGAAGGGTCACCAGACCCGAAATGTTAACTCTGATTTCTCTTCACAGATGCTGTCAGATCCAATGAGCTTTTCCAGCAATTTCTGTTTTCATTTCTGATTTACAGCATCTGCAGTTCTTCTGATTTTTATTTACCACAGTCATTCCCATTGTCAGCTACTGATGGTCCCTATTAGCAGCTAAATAAAAACCAAAAGAACTGCAGATGCTGTAAATCAGGAAAATCAGAAGTTGCTGGAAAAGCTCAGCAGGTCTGGTAGCATCTGTTAAGAGAAAATCAGAGTTACTTTAGTCAGAAACTCTGATGTTCTTTTCACAGATGCTGCCAGACTTACTGAACTTTTCCAGCAACTTCTGTTTTTGTTTCCCATTAGCAGATATTCATTCTTCCAGGCTGACCTTTACCCATTCCTTCATCTGCCCAACTGTTGTTCTCTCTCTGGGCTCCATGTCCACCTGCCGTTTACTCCTCCACCACTCTTCAGCATTTATACTCACCTCTTCCTAGCTAGAATCAGTTTTGTAAGAGGGTCCCTGGATAATTCTGCTTTCTCTCCAAAGATGCTTCCAGACCTGATGATTTCTTCCAGCAATATCTATTTTTTTTTCTCATCTCCAGCGTCTGCAGTTCTTTGTTTTTCTAATGAATGTAATTGGTCTATCTCCCTTAGTATTGAATCCACCTCCGATTTAGCGTCATGTCTTAATAGTTCGGGTATAGAGGAAGACCCTCTTTCCAAAAGTTCCAGTTAAAATGGTGACTTGGTGTTGAGCAGCTTATTGATCCTCCTGTGCGCAGGGGGCGCTGCGGCCTGAGCGGAGCAGAGTTGGAGATTGAGTGGGGGCTGATCTTATCACAACTTTTCACAACAATTTCTACCTACTGCACATGCGCAGAATGAGCGGCCTTTTCCAGTTTGGCGGAATCTGCCTGCCCCAGAAAATCGCCTGGGTCCCGGGCGGTTGAGGGTGAAGACGCTTAAAAATGGTTGGTAGTTCCTCGAAATAAACATCGATTCTGGTAGTTAACAACTGCGTGGATCGTATGGATCCTTCACAAAGCGAGGATTATCCTGTGTTACGAAGGATGGCGTTAGATTGTTGGCAGCTTCAGCCGCTGTCTCGCTTCCCAACGTGGCCATTGCGCTAAAGGCTGAGAAACCGATTCCAGGGCAGGACGTGAAAGAAATCGCCAATTGCACAGTTTTCTGGCCTAAATTATTATGTTTCTCATTTGTAAAATATTGCATTTTACCCATTTCGATAATTGCACACTGGCTTAAATCATTTTGTGTGTGGTTTAGGTGCTCGTTCTGTACTGACCTTAGGCCTTCTTGGGCAAGAAAAGTGATCTGATTTGTCGCTTATCCCCACAGTTAAGTCCTTCTTGAGGTTTTCGATGTTAAAAAAAAAGTAGGCCTCACTGTTGAGGCTGGCCTTAACGTTTGTGGACTTGATACAGTATATATTCTTTAAAATGCCCAATGGTTCAATTTGTTGTCCTGAAGATTGTTTAAAGTTAAACTATTCATTTGTGTAAAATTAGAGAGTTTAATATTTTTGTAGATACTCAGAAATAGACAGTTCTGTCATTTTTAACTTTGATGAAATTAGTCCCGTATAATGGTCTCAAGTTACTTAAGTGGCGAGGGCTTGAAATTCTGAATATGAAAAATATATTGTGTAGTAATTTTGATTTTTTTAAAGTGGTGGTGTGGTTTTTTTTCTTTATTCATTAACGGGATGAGGGCGTTGCTGGCTAGGCCAGCATTTGTTGCCCATCCCTAATTGCCCAGAGGGCAGTTCAGAATCAACCACCTTGCTGTGGGTCTGGAGTCACATGTAGGCCAGACCAGGTGAGGATGGCAGTTTCCTTCCCTAAAGAGCATTAGTGAACCAGATGGGTTTTTCCAACTATCGACAATGGATTCATGGTCATCATTAGATTCTTAATTCCAGATATTTATTGAATTCAAATTCCATCATCTGCCATGGCAGGATTCAAACCCAGGTTCCCCAGAACATTATCTGGGTCTCTAGATTAACAGTCCAGCGATAATACAACTAGGCCATCGTCTCCCCCTCGCGTTGCTTTAGTCATATTGGAATGTGGCATTGCCCATCTACAAGTGGCTTGGTATGACTTGTTGATGACTGGAGTTACTTAGACCATAATGGATAAGAATAGTTAATTTTCTTCCCTAGAGCACAATAGTGAATCAGTTGGGCTTTACAGTTCAATTGCCTGATGGTCACTTTGTGGATACCAAGTTGCAAATTACTGTGGTGAGGTTGTAAATTATGTCTTTGAACATTATCAAGGCTTCTGGATTCTTCATGCAGCAACATAACCACTACATTAGCACAACTCTTTAACAAATAAGTTTCCCATATGTGCTGGGAAAGTACAGGAATGGAAATATTTGGAACCCAATCTGCATTTTGCTTGGAGTGAAAAGTGTTTTCATTGTGACCTAAAATTTCATTTCCCTGCAGTTCAGGTCGTGTAAACGCAGGTGAGAGTGGGAGAATTGAATGTTGGCTGCACTCCTCTAAGATTTAAAAAAAAGTTTAAATGTCTGTGACTTAAATAGCTGTGTATTGGGAATCTTGTGTGCACAACAATGAATTTCAGAAGGGTCTGGGATAAATTGATTGAAAGACTTGGACAGGGTTTTAATTGATATATAACAGCAAGGTACTGTAGATCTGAAATTTAAAAGAAAAACTTGGCTACCTGGCAGCGTCTGTGGATGAGAAACAATTTGAGTCCGGTATGATTCTTTGGAGGAGGGGAAATGGCTCTAGGTGCATTGGACTTTCAGGGACCTGTCAGATGTGATTGGTCAAATGGTCTCCTCCCATGCTGTAACTATCCTGTAATTTGAGTTGAAATTTCTATTTTATCTCATTCTGTTGAGGTTGTAAAGGCCTCCTCTGGAGTACTGTGCAGTTCTGGTCGCCCTCTTATAGGAAGGATATTATTAAACTGAAGAGGGTTCAGAAAAGATTTACCAGGATGTTGCCAGGATTGGAGATATAAAAATAGACTAAAGACTGCAACATTTTTCACTGGAGTATAGGAGGTTGAGGTTTATAAAATCATGAGGGTCATACATAAGGTGAATGACAAGGGTCTTTTCCTTAGTGTGAGGGAGTTCAAAACTGAGGTGCATATTTTTGTGGTGGGAGGAGAAAGATTTAAAAAAGACATGAGGGGCAACTTTTTTTACCCACAGTCGCTCGTGTGCGAACTGCCAGAGAAAATGATGGATGCAGGTACAGTTCCAGCGTTTAGCAGACATTTGGATAAGTTCATGAATAGAAAAGGTTTGGAGGGATATGGGCCAAGCACAAGCAGGTGGAACTAGTTTAGTTTGGAAAGGTGGTTGGCGTGGACTGGTTGGACCGATGATCTGTTTCTCTGTTGTGCTGTGTGCTTTCAGATTGAGGCATATTAAGTTTGTCCTGCAGACATTAATTTTCTCTTGATCAGTGCAAATGGAAACTATCAGTTTTATTTCTGAGCAAATAAAGCTGATGAAACTGAGCATTTGAATATTGGAAACATGCAGAATTATCTAAGTTAAATATGAAGGGAGCATTACCATCTTTTACAATGAAACTAGCCTCTTGAAGTCGAAAATCCAGACAAGCAATCCCTATTTTAAAATTATTTAACCACATTTTTCGGCCTGATTTGTTGCTGTCTTTAACAACCAGTCCCGGTAGTTTAGGATCTTAGTTCTTTAGTCCTTAGTTTATTATTCTTAGTACTCCAATGTGTTGAGAGTTGGGTGTGGATACAGAAATTTTGCCTTCAGCTAACATCATTAACCTCTAGCTAGTGTTTCCAAACAACTTACAGTTGACCAAACTCTTCAATATTCACATATGTTACATGAGAGTTAGAGTGACTTGTTTGGCAATCTGGCACTTTAGAGCAAGTTAGACAGGTGAAGTGGGCATAAGTACATTTTAGTAGAAATTTCTCTTATCTGCTTTCTAACAGCAGACTGAGCAGCAGTCTAATGGCTGGATGTTAGTGAATACAAACGAGATGGACTTGATCTGCCTGAACCTACAGCAATTGTCTTTTAACTGTTGGTGCTATGGCATAAAAATACTTCAGTCGTGATTAGTGATGCTAACATTGTATTGTTTGTGGCATTCTGCTCAAGTAAAATTGTCATTGGTATCGGAGTGAGTATGTTAAACAGCTAGGATATGTGACAGATTGGCAAGTATATCGATATTTGGAAACGTTTACCTTGCGCATTAAGTTCTTAGAAAGCTAACTATTTTTTTCTCTTTCAAACATAGGGATTTGTTAAAGTTGTGAAAAGCAAGGCGTACTTCAAGCGGTACCAAGTGAAATTTAGGAGGAGGAGAGGCAAGTTAATTGGGAAAACTGTTAGCCCCTTCCTTGCACTCTGCAAAGTTCCAGCAATTGGTGGTGGGACAATGTTATGAAATGTACTCTCTTCCATTTTCAGAGGGAAAGACTGATTACTATGCACGGAAACGCTTAGTGGTACAGGATAAGAACAAGTACAATACCCCAAAATATCGGATGATTGTACGATTCACCAACCGGGACATCATATGCCAGGTAAAAGACTTGCATTAATAATTACTCTTCAGTGTTAAATGGGGTCTACGATAAGAAAGCAATCATATTGTTGGGCACTTTGAATTTTAATGCTGTGTGAAAGACAAACTCTCTTCTCCCTAAGTAATGCACGTGATGTTGATGGCTTCTTACCTTACAGATTGCGTATGCCAAAATTGAGGGTGATATTATTGTATGTGCTGCCTATGGCCACGAATTACCCAAATACGGCATAAAAGTTGGGCTCACCAACTATGCTGCATCTTATTGCACTGGTCTGCTTCTTGCCCGCAGGGTAAGTTCTAGGTTAGCACTCATGTCATTTTAATGCTCTTGCTTTCATAAAAATATTTTTGATATGGTCAGAA